ATCGCATTTGGTCTCGTTCTGTATCGCGTATCTTGTCAGTGTCTACGCTTGCTTGGCCATATGTTGTGGAAAAAATAAGGAAAGTGTGTTCAAGCGCCAACAGAAAACAGTGTAAAGAAATAGTCTTTGAGAGAAGCAGTCTTTATCAGCGGAAGTTAAAAGCAGCTCGTAAGTGTATTTACTTGTCTCATTAGTGTTTAGTGCAGTTGTCGTTGCTAAAAAACGCTTGTTTTGTTTACTGTGTGGAGACGTGCTGATCGCGTTTGGTCTCGTTCTGTATCACGTATCTTGTCAGTGTCTGTGTTTGCTTGGCCATTTGTTGTGAAAAAACTAAGGAAAGTGTGTCCAGCTGAATTAATTTAGTATTTTGTTAGACGGGTATAAAAAAAGCTTAATTTACCGCAGCAGCCTCGCGTGACGGCCTCCTTGTGTGAAGACCAAAAAGTGTAAAGACCATCGACTCTATCGTGCGACTCTACCGGGCAGGGACACTGGCAAAGGAAAAATATCGCTTTTTATTTCTCCTCTTTCCTACTACTTGTTTCACTTCTGTTTCAGTTTTTATAACCATTTCTTACTATGTGTAAGTAAGTTGTTGTTTTTTAGCATGTGTGTTTGGCAGTGTTATTTTTTAGGATTACTGATAAACTACTGTCGTTTGATTTGTATTATTTGTATTTGTTATTTATTTTAATCTTAGTTAAATTGTCTGAATTTATTATGTCTGTATAGGTCTTTTGTTAAGTTTTAGTTATTTAATTTGAGTTATTTTAATACTTCAACAAACTAAATAGAAATTAAATAATATATATATTGAATTTATAAATGTGTGTGTATGTATGTGTGTGTATATATATTAGGGCTGCACGATAAATCGTATGCGATATTTAATGCGCATCTTGTCAGAAAGCCGGTTCTGTAATCAGCGATAAATCTCCATCACGTGCGTGCTTTCACATTGAGCAGCATTAACAATGCGCGTTAAATAATCGCATGCAATTTATCGTGCAGCCCTAATATATGTACAAACAACATGTACGTTGTTTTTTTGGTGTTTGGCTTAGTGTTATGTTAAATTTATTTTTTTAATTTAAATTTATTTAAATTTAGTGTTATGTTAGAATCATTATTATACTCTTATACCTTTTGTTCTTTAATATTTTGAATTGTTTTTAGCTTTATTTTTTGCTTTTCATTTAAATGTTAAGTTTTGAAATTTTGTTGTATGCATTTGTCATTTTTATTTAATTTCTTTATTTTTAAAATGTGTATAAGTAGTATTTATAAAGTTTTAGCTTTTAGTTTTGGATCTGTTTTTAGTTGTTTTAATACTACAATTGATTGTTTCTGTTGTCCTCATTTATAAGTCGCTTTGGATAAAAGTGTCTGCTAAATGACTAACTAAAAAAACTTAACTAAACTAAATATATTTATTAGGGGTGTAACGGTTCACAAAATTCGAGGTTTGGTTCAACACGACACAGTGGTGTCATGGTTCGGTACTTTTCGATACGGAGGCCGGGGGGATTGCTTACTTCGCAATGCTGGAAATATTTCTGTTTTAAACCATGAAGGCGAGCCAATGGATATCACATAAGCAACGTGCAAACTTTGCGCAAGAGTTATGCCGGTGAACGTCTTAATCTCAGTCAATTCACTTTAAAGTAAAAACGGAATGACGGAGCTTTCGGCATATGACACCGCATATTCTCTCAGAGACGACGAGAGACGAATCTACTTCAACATATGCTGATAACGGTATATGGCTAACTGTAATTTATTCCCTTAATATTTCTCTTGTGGCTGTACATAGTGAAAAAAAAATATTTCGTGATAAACAGGTTGTTTTTGAAAGTCGGTGCTTGAAATGGGCTAAAGCTTTTTATTTAATTGATTTTTACTGATGACTGTAGTGTTAATATTTTAATTATAGGCCTATAATTGTATAATAGACCTGTTTTAAAAGACGTTTAAACGCGCAGCGCTGACCTCAGAGGTCATTCCCCTGGAACTGCTTCCAGTGTACAACAGTGAGCGCAAGCTACATTAAAGTGATTGTTACATTTTGAATATGGATATTTTTCTTACAAAAAAGCATCGATTGGCTACAGAAGGCCTTTGTTCACCCCCCGGAGCAGTGTGAGACACTTTTTTTTTATTTTTATGGATGGGCGCATTTTATTATGTCATGGGACCTTTAACTGCTTTTGGACGGATGCATGCAACACCCACTGAGTGCCATGAAACAGCTTGAAAGATCAAAGAATTTTTTTTATATAACTCAGACTGGATTCGTCTGAAAGAAGAAAATCATATACACCTAGGATGACTTGAGGGTGAGTAATTTATGGGCTAATTTTCATTTTTGGGTGAACTAACCCTTTAACCGCGCCCTAGTGTGTTTGACCCCAAAAGCTCGGTTTGTTTGACTAGTGTGATCGCTCCGTGCCGCGCTTGGAAGAGGTGGGCCAGAGCACGGTATGCATGTAGTGTGAGCGCTAACCGCACCGAAGAGCGGAACTTCTGATACGTGCAGCATGACTGCATTAACATTTCTGAGCGGCAAAAGTGATAGATCTGTAAAGCAATATATTGTGAGAGGGCCGTGTCTCACCACGTCCCAAACGACTCAAAATAATAAACTACAAAGTTAACAAAACGATGCACTCCACTGTGCTGAGCGAGAGGGCTTCTGCCTTCACGTGCTATCGGAAACTTCCTATTTCCCACTTATGAAGTCATGACTCACGATATATATATATATATATATATAGTTGTTCGACTGCCATAAAAGGGATGAGGGGGTTGTGAAATACCCTCAAATGTAATACATAATGTAATTTTTATATAATATAAATGTGAAATGGCCTCAAATAAAATACACATGGACTAAAACCAACAAAACTCCAATTTCAATTTCATGGATTTTTTCAGGGCTGTTTTTATCTCACCGTCTGCAGATTTTTGTCCTGTTCTAGCTGGTAGTTGAGCTCATGCAGCAGGTCTGTGCTGATCTGTTCTGGAGTACACTGTAAACCAAGGTACAATAGGTTTTCAGTGGCATGAAGTGTATCACACCAATTTCACTTGCTATCATTGAGTTAAAAGAGCTCATCACAGAACAGCGGACTCACAAATGCCAGCGGCCCTTCGTCGATGTTGGAGCTGGTCCATGGGTTCCAGTTGACCTGCGGAGGAGACCATGGCACCACTCCTGCTGTGCTCTGCCTTTGTGAGGGCTCAAACTGAGCCATCTTCCCTTGCACCAGAGATACTGGACTGTTGGGGTCCTGAGGCTAAAAAAAGGACACACGTTCTTACTTATTCTTACTTGGTAATGCTCATAAGTCAGGAAGGTTTTCTGTCCAACACTTACAGGAGGAGGGATCTTGATGCCAAGTTCCTGCACAATACTGTGTATTTGATGCTGTACATCATCACTGAGATTCACTTCATATACATCCACCTGTCACAGCAACCAAAACAGGAAGTTAGTAGAATCAGTAAACGCACAGGTCTCAGAAGACAGATAAACTCGGGTGTTAAACTCACAGTCTCTCCTTCTTTCTTCTTGGTCTGTCCCGTGTAGGCTTCTACGACCCCCAAATGGTAAAGCTGACGGACAATTGACAGCGCACAAGACTGGGCAGCCAGCTTCTTTGTAGAGCCATGCTCACGGGCAAAAACCTCTGGAAAAGTAGGGAAGCTTTAGCAAGGACACAAATTCTAATGTGAAACCATTTGTCCTTGACCTTACAGTTTATTATGTAGAAGGTTTTCTGATACTTACTCCTACCCAGTTGTCTTACAAAGATTGTCATCTCAGCAATAAAACTCCTATAACAGAGCAAGATTTAAAATCAAGACGTCCCAACATGACATTTAGCCCACAGGTGTCTTTACAAGATTTAAGCACAAATAAACTCCACAAACTGACCTCTTAACCGGACGGCACATGAGATCAACAGAGTGACATTTCAGCGCAGAGTCCGTACAGGACAACCCATCCTGAGCAGGTTTGTTTTTCTGCCAGACTTCTAAACATGGTGTTATTCCTCTCTAGATACTGGAGGCCTTGACCCCTGATGGACAAGTGACACCAGAAATCACAACCAGACATTATTTTGCCTCTCCCACCTCTAAACCCAACCAATCACATACTTCACCATGTGACCTCTTAGTGTAGCCTAAGTCATGTCACATGTTTTCCCCCATGTAAGGTTGTGATTTCTGGCATCTCTATTGTCCTCCTTTAAGATTACATACTACACAGATGAATCTCACAAAAAACATGTCCAGGTCACATTTCACCCCCCCAACAATATGAAATAAAAACAATTTAATAAATAAAAATAATAATAAATATGAATAGTCCTAACTAGACATAATAATAAAGCCTGTTTTTAGAACAATAAGATTTTTTTTTGCATTGATATTATGACAAATACTTTCATTATTCTTATACATTTGAAATACAGTATTTTACGTGATGCAGTGAAATACGACCTGGACATGTTCTTGACAAGTTTCGTGAGATTCACCCATAAATCATTGTTGATTTTGTAAGGTAACATCTGAGATGAGACCGTCTTTAAGTGGTCTGAGATCTCCTTGAGGTTAGATACACATCAAGGAGTTCTCTGTCATTGTTTCAGTCCAGCAGAAAAACAAACCTTTGACTCATTACATTTAAAAGCAAAGTCTGATTTTCGATGAGGATACCAGTTTTTAATTGAAAACATTAGCCTACAAATTAATAATTCTATTAAATAGCACATGGAATGGGTTCAAAACTAAGCTGTTGTCGTAAATGGGAATGTTCTGACCTGTTGTGGTCAGGCCCGACTTGGCTGTACTTGTAGTCGGTTTGGTTCTTCTCCTTCTGAAAGAACTGGTTCAGACGGGCCTTTGCATTGTCCAGAGTCCAGTTCCCATGCAGGCCAGCATTTAGATCAACTTCCTCTGATTCCAAGGTCTTGGGGAATTAGAAAAGACCCCTTAATTCTCAGAAACCTTCTATAAAAACCTGGCTAAAAAAAAATGAAGACCTACTGCTTTTGCATCCTGATCCTCTCTCTTAGAGTAATATTCCTGGATGTTGGCTCCTCGCTCCCATTGGGCGTTACCAAATCCAGAATAGCCCAAACCTGTGACTCCAGGAACGGGTGCAGAACTCTCAGAAGGTTCTGAGACACAGGAAGAATACAGCATTAAAATAGTTGTTTTAGTCAATGTTAGAAATGGTTTAAACATCGGTTAGCTAACTAGCCCACAACTGGTAGATGCCGTAACTACACCAATCTGCAGGCAAAAGGCATCTTTCTCCATTGACATCTAAACAACATCTAAAACACTGATATTAAATTATAGCAGATGTTTTGTTAGCAACCAATTACTGGATGAATCCAAGTATAACATAAGGTACCTCCCCCCGATTCCTTCTTCACAGCCAGATGTGGAGGTAGTGGACAGTTGGATGGGAGATTTCCAAACCCACCACCTTCTTCATTCCCTCCATCAGGTACGCTGACCTGAAAACGATAAATGTAAACCCAGACCTTCCTCATAATACAGACGAGTAGTGGAAGAACTTTAAACAGAGATGTGATACTGACCCCTAGAGCAGGAACTTCACTAGGACTAATTTCTTTCGTCCGAACAAGATAATTCACAAAATCTCGGGCTGCATTGGACTGAGCGTCCTTCTTGTTGGTAGAATTTCCCATGGCAATGTAACTGTAACCCTCAATACGCACCTTAAAGAAACATGGGTCAAAACAACAAATACCTTTTATTACAAAGTATTTTATATACAATATGCAAGTGACTTTAAGAGGCCTCAGCCTTATTCTCACCTCACACAAGAATTTCTGTCTGTTTTTATTTCCAGCTGCTCGGATGTCATAGTTCGGCGTTAGCTTCTTTTTTCCACACCAAGCATACAGGAAGTTCTTAATGTCCGCCATTGTTGACGGCCTGCATGTGAATTAAATTAATAAAACGATTAAAAATAAAAGCAAGAGTATTAATCGCCTATAGGAAAATAATATGGTAAACTCTGCAATCGTCCCATTTCTCAGAGATAACGTTAGCCTAAACGTAACCATGCACTGACTGCAAGACTAACGTTAGGCGGGAAAAAAAAGGATTAAAGCTCTAATGCAAGAATAACTGTATCCAACTCATTAGCATTTTAAACTGTCATCACAAGAAAAATCATACATTTAAAATACACAAACAGCTAAATAGGTTTTTTGGCTATATATTTGCAAGTAGTCTGCTGCAATGAATGGGCTAACATTAGCTAACGTTAGCTGGTTCCTGCAGCCATATCTAGGCCATATAATAAAAGTACTATTAAACAAAGCTATTAAATAAAAATGAAGATGAACTAGGCTACGTTTGTATCATACCCGACAAAGGCCCTTTCGCACAAACCCAAACAAGACGCACACGACGTTCAGAAAAGTAAGTTACGTATGTTACGATACAGGCCAGCTTACAGACATTCACTTCTGGCTTTTTTCAGTCTTGATTGCAAATGTTTTTTGGTTTTTTTTTATGTACGATGGATAATAATCATATATCAAACTAGGCTATATGTTATTAAATTGTACATAGGCTATATATCAGACTATTTTATTTACAAGTTTCATGTTTGTGTCTATCCCGTTTATTCCCCCGTTGCATCTGAAAATTACTTTCAGAAACAATAAAAGTACTATTAAACAAAGCTATTAAATAAAAATGAAGATGAACTAGGCTACGTTTGTATCATACCCGACAAAGGCCCTTTCGCACAAACCCAAACAAGACGCACACGACGTTCAGAAAAGTAAGTTACGTATGTTACGATACAGGCCAGCTTACAGAGCAGAAGAACACACAGGCAGATCAGAACAGGAAGTGACGCAGCCCTAAACGTATCAGTGCAAAATCGATCCGTGCAAAGCAGATTTTCAAGTATAAATATTATTGAGAACATATATATATATATATATATATATTATTGTGTACATTTTGCTGACTATACTGATTTAATGTTTAATGAAGATGTTTTATTTATA